CAGGTGTTTCACCGATCTAGTCAAGGAACAATTAAGTTCCGCTTTGCTCCTTATATATAAAATATTTATCCTCCTATCCGTGTGAAGGGCTATTGTGTTGCTCATATAGTATTCTCGTGAGCATGAACGAATTAGGCGTATTTTCTTAACAGAATTAATAGGCATGCGGACATTAACCAATAGCGTTTCGTGACTTATCAGAGTGGCCAGTTTTTGTAGGAGAAAACTAAACACATCTTTCAGGTGTGTCCAGTAATTTCTAGATAAGGGTGTGAATGAATTTTTGCGACGCTTTTATATTAAATTGATTGATAATCACGATCCCATTACTTTCAGTTCGGCAAGTAAGCAATTCCTAGATCTTTGAAATGAGATTTGACAAGGGTGTGTCCAAATTTGCCTCAACTTTTCCTACCCCGAGGCCCGCATTTCTTCAGGGTCTCATCCAGAAGAAGGCAGAAGTTTCCTTGGTAGCAAAGAATGTTCTTATTTAGATTTAAATGCCTGCACCCACGCTTCCCGTAAGACAGAAACTTGGGGGGGTTTTTTTACATACGATATCACTACCCCACCCTAAACTTAACCCTTACCCTAACCCTAACCCTAACAGAAATTAATTGGGTCGGCATGTAAATATAAATAAGAGCATTCGTTGCTATCAAGGAAACACTTGCCCAAAAGAACCTGTAACATGGGTTGGGATCATCCACACTGATCTGGACTGAACACGGGAAATCCAAGTTTATCTTGTGGCACCAACTTCGACCCCCTGCGACGTTCACATAACATCCAGCAATCAATTATAGTTAATTACTACCAAGCGGAACATGGACGACTGGAATAATCGTTTCCGGTCGATCTTCATCCTCAGATAGCCATGGTTTAATTTCACTGTAGTAATGTATACTTGACAATGATGAATAAGTTAGGAATGACCACTTGCAACCTTCTACACCTTGCTGGTCAATTTCGGCATTAAAAATAATTTTCAGCGCAGTTTTCGCCCCCCCCCAAGATAACGAGATGATGGTGACTGAAGAATCATATCGAAGTGTTATATGGAGCTGCAAAGCCTTCCCGGCATGAAATTAGGGGTTTGAATATGTGAACATACGCATTATAGTAAACTAGTCAAATGAAGGCACAGTCTCATGATTTTGAATGCTTTGGATTCATACAATATTGCATTGGTGACACTAACACTATCACCGCACCTTTAAGCGTAAAAGCCTGTATTTAATGCTGATGGCTCACCACTGGACTCGACGCCATCTATGCAGGTTCCTTGGAGGCAGGAGATTGGTCTTCATAATGCTGACTATTAGTCCTTTTCCGCCAGTTCCTATGGCTCCAGGATGATTTGCAGTTATATCCAAATGTTGTCCCTTCTTGCATGAGTAAATCGACTGCGTTATATAATCCTGGCGGAGTCAAGTAATTGCGTATCTGGTC